GCCCACCTACTCCTGCCAACCTTTTATCGGCAACATGTACAGATTCATCGGCCACGGAGAACGGTGACATCACCACATTGTATAAAACAAAGTCGTCGCGATGTCTCTTTCCCTAGGTATGCTTAGTTCTTTAAAACTACGCAACGGATCTTGATGCGGTTTTTTTTACTAGATAGAGTGATTCAAGAGGAAGGTTTATATGTATAAAACATTGTACCCGTGCCATGCCGAGGCGGGTTGCTATTTTTTAATAATGCTTTTTGGTGAATGCTCAAAACGAGCAAGCAATTCTCGTAATGCTAAATAATTATCACCGCCCACGGAAAATTAAATGACTATAAGGGCTGCAAAGGCGTTACTAGTCTTTAGTCCTTACCTCACGAGACAAAACTCGTAAATGGAAACTATGATAACTAAACTATATACTAACTCGAGATGGAAAAAGTTTTCTTTTAGATCTGCGTAAATTTCAAATGTCAATAACTTGAGCTTCATTTCGTGAATATATATATTCGAGATAGAACTCGTTGAAGCGATCGTTAAAGTTGCACAGAGTATAAACCGTGCATTGCGAAGAAAACGTGTCTCTGTTTGTTTATTTGCTATAGAGACGTGATTGGAGAAATAAAACTTTATTGATGTAGGATAAGAACTCGTCACATTTACGTGTACTAATAAAAGCTCAACTTGGATCTGTTGATGATTGCATGCTTCCCCTATTACTTTTATCCACGAATGCCCTCATACCTATTCCCTTCTTTAAGATTAAATTAATTCCGATTACAACGGCTGTCTAGATTAAGCTGCTTTCAGAGCGATAAGACCGCATACAAACAATTTACACTATTTTGTAATATGTACCTATTCCTCTTACATGCATATTTCAGTTTATACAAACTACGTTATAATAATTAATACCCGATTGGCGTAATTGGTAGTGACCCTGCCTCTTGCACCGGAGGCTGTGGGTTCGATCCCTACTACTGGAAAAATATTATGTGATGAACATACTGACTGTTATCCAGTGTCTGGGTGTTTATATATTTATAATGTTTTTATTTACAAAAGAAAAGTACGTTTATATATGTTTATCAGTTATCTAGTACTCATAGTACAAGTGTTCCTTAGGTAGGGACTAGAAAACGTTGTGTAAAAATGTGTCCAACGTGTGTGTGCAACGATGATGTCATAAGATATAAATACCACTTAATAAGGAATCTCGTTAGAAAGCAGACGAGTACATCTCAACCTACAATTGGTTAGCAGGCGTTCGCGAGAGCTTATTCATTTTAAAAGTTAATCTCGACGACAGCCGCACCACTTGATAAACTCATCGATGCCAGGATGGCGCCATCTGTGTGCTAGACAGAGACAGAAAATGCTATCCATTATTCCGTCAAGGATTATACATGTGGAAATTTATTTCTGTTGCTGCCAGTGTATTGTATAAATACTCGTTTTGTAAAGACTGTTGTCAACAGATAGACACTTTAAAAAAGTTGTACGTACGATTTACGAAAATGTTTAATTCTTTTTTTTTTCTTAATATAGAATAGGGAACAAGAAAAACCAAACTGACTGCAAGTATCTCTCTTACTATGAATTTTCTTATTGTTTTTGAGTTTACTGTTGTATCTCCGGAATTAAAAGGTTGGAAAAAATTGATTGCGAGCGATTTTATTTTACACCAGCATATTTAAAGTGGTTTTTAATCGACGAATTTTTTTTTTTCGTATTAAATTAATTTTAATTTCCAGATAAGCAATAAGTAAATAACGCAATTACTTTTGCAAAAATAAAAATGTTTAGTTATATTTCTGCATATTCTGTTTCATTCGTTCTAACTGGAGCCATCTCTGGACGTGAAGTTAAGAAGTCTTCGAGACCCACTTTCCAGGCTCCTAAACAGTGCCAAACGGTCACAATGTACTACTATTGTTTATTTTTATTTTTTACACGTATACAAGAAACTTTAAGGTGCTCACTTTGTGTGCTCACGCAATTCCCAGCCCCTGCTTAATAATACTCTCTCTTACTCATATACTTGAGCCTACTAGGCATTCGTAAGCACAAAGAATCGAAGAAGCCGTGATAGCTCCAGTGGCCTAAAATTAAATTGTTAACTTCAAGTGCTGATTTAACACGTGCTCAGCGGTGAAGGAAAACATCGTGAGGAAACCTACAATTTCTGAAATAATAACAAAAAAAAGTAAATATTTTGAAGATATGTGCACACCACTCTGCGGCAGTGGTGTCGTATGGTAGACTATGCCCTAATACCCTCTATACAGAGGAGGCGATTGCACAGCAGTGGAACATATTATATAGGCCATTAATTTACTTTTTTAATATAATTCATGTGTATTAGTCGAGTTTTTGCGAATAGTAAACTGCGAAAAGGACGTTGACCCCACCGCCAAAGCGACTGAGAACGACGTTTTAGGGCCCATTGCTCTTCAGTTATAAATATAAACCACTCAATAGACCGCCAGTCCCGCGGCTGACATTTCCACGGTATTCTAACCGCTCCAATTTCGCAACTGTGTCAGTGGGTTCCGACGCGGCGGGCGAACGCGCCGACAAGTTTACACCACACCTGTTATAGCGACGCCTTGTGCGAGCTACACGCGCTTGGTGGCACGCCGTACGGTACTGTCACGCGTGTTATGTAAATGCCGTGTAAAGATATCGTCGTCCATCGATATGTTTTCCTTTTTTCTAGGAAACAAAATTTTCGCATATTCCGGTCGAATCGACTAAACTTTTCGACCACTTCGCGACAAGTGAGGACGACAGAAATTATCTCACTTTTAGAATTAGCATCTTTAAATGATGAGTTGCTAATACTAAAATATTTATTTTAAAAGTTAGATAATTTTAAAAAGATTGTGGCTCATCGGATGCTAAGTGATATTCGCCACCCATGGACTATTGCAATACCCGTAAGGTTGCAAAATCGTTGCTAATTTATTATTAAAGTGGTCCCCGGGTACCCCACTCACCAGATAAAATGTAAGGAAGAGAAGGCTCGCTTAATGCTAAGTGATAACCACACCCATGGACTTTTACAACACATGTAGGGTTGCAATCGTTGCTAATTTACAATAAAGAGGTACCCGGAGCTCACCCACCAGACGAAATGTAGAAGAATTTACATTATATCGGTTATACATTAAAATATTACAATTATGGTAATAAATTATGTAATAAAATTAATAAAATTAATAAAATTAATGGTATAAAATTATAGTAAAATATTACAGTTATGGGAATCCCATAAATACCTATTTTTCCTAAAATTTAAATTAAACAACTAATGCAAAAAATTTAAATTGTAAACTTTAACATGAATTAAGTTTGTAATAATTTCTTTTAAAAGGAGACTAATAAAGGGATGAAGTGAGATCACTTTTGAGCAGTCTTCAAAAAAGGAGTTTCTCAATTTGGTTGTGTTTTTTTTTTCAGACTTGAGAACTCTGTAATTTATAAACCAACTTTGAGTTTTTTATTTTATTTGGAGCGAGATAAGTTAATTTCTCATATAAATTTCAAAATTTTATTGGTATTGTACTTTGGACTCCCAATCCCAATGGAAAATGTATAGTAAAAAATACTTCTTCTATTACTTCATTGAATTGAATAAATATTATTCTTTATATTACAATTCTTAGTTCTCAAAGCCAAAATAACTTTAAACCCTAATAAGGAATGAAAAAATAGTACAATTTATTTCATTAGTAATTCAATACACAAAATTTTGATGAATTTTCAAGAAAATTGGTCATTAATCTTAATAAATAAAAATAATGTTGGTAAGCGCATAACTTAAGAATGGCTAGACCAATTCGGCTAAATTATTTTTTTTGCATGTTCCTTATTTGTTATTATTTGTGCCTATAAACAAGTTAATGATAATTGTTAAGTTATAATGCTGTAGTTAACTTATTGAAGAAGATTATGATATTTTCCAGTAAAAATTGTGCCACATGATTCCTTACTTTTCTTATCAAATCTTATCTTAAAAATTTCAATTTACTTCTTTCATAATGTTCTTTAAAGGCCTATGACCCAGATACAAAATGATAAATGCACTTTATCACAAGTAGAGCGCAGTCGAGTTCAATTTGATTTATTGTTGGCATCTTGTGATAAAACAAAGTAATAAAATTGGGGACAATATTTATGAATATACTACTAAATATAACAAAACTTGAAATTATATCCCATTAATAAAATAATGGAAATTAGCATCATTGCTATTTTAGGCGAGCACGAAACCAGTTTTAATAATTTTCCCTTAGAATTTTATAAAAAGTAATATAGCGCATAAAGTGAAATATTAAATATCAACAAATCGATCTCAGCGCCACCAAGCGAAGCGCGTGATCCAAGAACGAAACATGAAATCAAACTCATCGCGGCCATCTTGTGCTCCTTGACCGCTGTCATTTTACTGTCATTGCGACATTTTAAGTCAATGAGATTTCAATAACAATAAACAAACAAGACACAATATGAACTATCATTGAACAAAACCATTACCGTGATCTACACATTATAAAAAATATGTTAATATAATGATTCAGTATCTTAATCTGTAACGTAGTGACTTGGCTAAAAATAACCCAGGCACGTGCCAAATTTACTTGCAAACGTTAGGTATAGAACAGATAAATATAATGCCTTAATATATTTCGCATTAAATAGTGTTAGGTACCGTGGAATATAAGTTATATTAAGCAATTAGAGACAAAGATAACGCAAACCATGCAGGCAAGGTGGCGCATTGGCGCCATTTTCCTTTTTCAACATTGAGCTCCTGGGTGACGTAACAGGTCTACGGAGCGTCCCCAACCGAACTTATGAGAGCACTATATGAAATTAAATCGCTTTTCGAACACTTTTACTATAATAAAAGCGTTGTTTTCGTATAGGTGTCACCTTGACGTATGTCACTGTGACAAGCATGGCGGAAACGTGGCGTCGTTAGGCCGGCTTACCTCCAGGCGACATGGACTGTCGATTACTGACGCGGGCGTCCCTGATGATGTCCCTCGTTATTTCTCTAACGTCACGTCTCTGCTGGTACGCCATCTCGGGCCGGTCGCGTTGATCCTGTGCTATACCGGCCGTAGGTGGTAACATCGTTATTTAATCCATTCGAACACTGTTTTTCACTCTGTCACTAGTGAAACAAAACATCCTTTCACTTAATGTCAATTGGTTAAAGTTATTATTATCAACAACAATGTAAATTAAAATAACTCGTACGAAGTACGCACATCAAACCGAACTGGAGCGCGACTGTCTATGTCTATACAGCGCCGTTTGGGGGACGGCGGGAAGCTACAGCGCCGCCGCGCAGTTGTCCCTTTCTACCACGTTATAACCTATATACCTCGCTCTCTTACACAGTAACGCTATAGTGACAGAACAGAAGTGTATGTCAAAACAAAGCGTGGGCTGAGACCGCTTATTTATTTAAATGTCAAAAAGCCAACCGTTTACAAATATATAGGTACGCGCCATCTGTTACAATTTCCTTTAAAACTGTTAAAACTTTTTCAAACAGCGCACGACGCACGTGTATAACGCAATGTAATCAACAAAAGCTCAGAGAACTATTTTGAAAACAAACTTTACGTTTCAAATAAAGAAATTGATTTCCATGCGGAATATTTTAAAGATTCACACAGTCGAACATATTGGAATAAGTATACAAGTTACTAAATATGGAAACCAAAATTAAATGTAATTGACAGTAGGCAATTTTACTATTGTTTTTATTTTGTTAGCTACGTATATGTGTTTGAATCTCATTATTTATGTTCCTCAGTATATATATTTTTATGATTGCTTTAGTTCTTACGATTTTAAGATTCTTTTTTATATTCAGTATGTAATGTGGAAACAATATTTAGCCGTAATTATTTAGATGAACATAGCAATAATTCCAAAAAAATAAATAAATGTAATGTGAAATTTTGTGGAATGGAGTAAAAAATATAAGTCATATTCCAAGGACGGATTTATTTATGCTTGCAATAAATAAAAAATCTTAAAACATACATCATTGATACAAAATTAGGATAAAACTAACAAGAAACTCATAAATACTTTAAGAATCTAAAACAAAAGTTAAAGTAATCAATTGGATTCGTCTTGCTTGATATTCTCGATCAGTCTTTCGTAAACGGTCTGGGGAGCTTTCTTCGAGAACAGGAAGTCCATGTGGGAGAATTCCTCATCTGATACCTTGAGGTGATCTCTCACGTTGGGGAGCTCCTTGTGTAGCCTCTCGACATCTTCAGGGTGCGACAGCCAATCCTTCGTGGTGGTATACAAGACAACTGGGACCTGCACGTTGGACATCTTGTATTTAGGAGGTTGCACGTGACCGTAGACCTTCTGGTTGATTTCGGGGCCGTAGTCGAACTTCCTAAACTCATGCGAAGCGACTGCCTGCCCGTATTGCTGCATCTGCCGTTTGGATCCACCCGTGGGGAGGTGGCCCATGATGACTGGGATCAGCTCGGCATCCAAATCCCCGAGGCTGGTGATCACGAAGTAAGCGTTGGAGCAGACGTTCTTGCAGCCGATTTCGCTCTCGCACATGTCGCCGCCGGCGGTCTTTATCAATTCTTGAGTCGGTTTAAATTCGCCAGAGCCTAACTGTTCCTGCAAGCGCTCATGGAACGGGCTGTTCGGAGCGATCATTCGGAAGAGCGGGCTGCGGACCTTCGTCATGTATACCATAGGAGAGATGGCGTGAACAGTGGCGATCTTCTCGTTGTACTCAGGGCGGGCGGCCATAAGAGCGAATATCGTGGTCGTGCCCTGGGCAACGCCAACGTAGTGAAGTTTCTTCTGCTCGGATACCTTGAGGGCGTGGTCGATCATCGCGGGCGTGTCGTGAAGGGCGATCTCGTCGTTACTGAACTGCCAGAAGTCTGGGTGCGCTTCGTGCTTGCTAACGTGGTGCCTGGCGTATTTGTTTCCTCGGGTGTTTCCCAGCCAGACCTCGTAGCCCTCGTCGGCGAGCATGTAAGCAAGGGACATCTTGGGGCCCATCAACAGCCAGTCATCAGAGCTGCCGAGCAGCCCGTGAGCGAGGAAAACGACCTTGACTTTTTTGTCATGTTCGTTTTCCGTTTTCTTAGTGTTCTTCGGTGCGATTCGGAAAATGGTTAGGAGGTAGCCGTCGTCTGTCTTGACTGTGTGTTCCTCCACCTTGTACTGGTGCTTCTTGAGCAGTTGGGACGAGTTCAAGTGGATATTCTCGTTCTCGATTTTGTTCACGGTCTGGTAAGTCGCGTGGAACGTTTCCTTTTCTTCGTCGGTGAAGTGTTTCATGGTTTTGTACGCGTCGTCGAAAATCTTATCGAGTTCTTTTTGATCGACGACCGGCGTGTTGTCCCCTGTCGCGATTTGGACACCCCTCCAGGTGATCACGTCTCCGTAATTGGGCCTGGTGTCGTCCTGGTTTATGATCGCCGAGAACATGGGCGCGTTCCAGTTCTTGACCGTCTGCAGCGTCGCGTAGTCCTTGCCGCTCTCCTCGTAGGACTTCTCCTTGCTCTCGGAGCTGCCGCTGGAGCTGTGGTGGTGGTTGTGCTTGTGGCCGTGGTCGTGGTGGCCGCCGTGGTGGTGCTTGTCGCCACGCGTCATCCGCTCGTGGTGCTCGTGGTCGAGCGGTTCGAGCATCAGTCGTTCCATCTGCGGTTGGAACTCGTGGCGGAAGATGCTGCCCGCTATGTCGCGGGCTAAGGCCAGGCAGAGAAGCAATGCGATCGCCTTCATGTTGCTGGTGCGAACAGTGATGATGGCGGCGCGCGATGTGGCTTTTATACTGGTTTTTGCGCGCACTCAGCGGCCCGCCAGCCCGCAGCACTCGCCTGTTGGCGCGGAGTCAGCGCGTTTGGCCCCGCTCGCTACTACGTGATACTTGGAGGTTTCATTTTCCATTTCGCACACTGCGCATTTTCCGTTGCTATAATTGAATACACTGGCGTTGACCTGTACTGAAAACTAGGGCTAATAGCGATTGCAATATAGCTATCCTTAGATACTTGTAGATTCTTGAGTAAAGCCAGATTAAAGTTGTATTTGTTCGATGTATGGTTTCAAAAATTTTAAGTGTTAAGGTTGCCTGTTAAAGTTTACCCGCCCCGGTTTCGCACGGGTACAATGTATTATACATATAAACCTTCCTCTTGAATCTCTGTCTAGTAAAAAAAACCGTATCAAGATCCGTTGCGTAGTTTAAAAGATCTAAGCATACATAGGGACAGCGGGACGACTTTGTTTTATACTATGTAGTGATCTTTGTTGTTGATGGTGTTAATAAATTTTTTATTAATAGACAACAATACCGATTTCATTTATTGCGCTCACTATACATTTTCTATTCGTTTTTAAGGAGTTTGCTGATATCCACTTGGGAGCTTAACCGAACGCAATTTTTAAAATCGATTCATAAATGACGGACTACTGAGATAAGAGAGATAAAAAGCAAATATAACTGACTTGAGATCCTCCTCCTTTTTTGAATTCGGTTAAAATATTTGGTCTTATTTGAAAAATTAACATTTATATTTACATGTAACAAAACAAAAATAATTGTATTCCCATTTTAGGAGTTATTGAATGTCTATCTCAGTAAGATATTTAGTTGATTAAACATTCAGAGATGTATGTGATATATTGTACATTGACATTTTTTTCCTGGCGACGTCCATCATGGGATACAGAAACCCAATAGCGAGTCTCTAATAGGAGAATATAACTTTATTTATTCACACTTGAGTCTATAATTAAATCTTCGAAATTAAACGTGAAATTTTAATAGCAAAACATAAAAATATATAATTACTCTAAATCACTACCCTTTTTTTATATTATTTTCTTGATAATCATAATCATCATCAAACAGGCCTATGTTCAGCAGTGGATATAAACCCTGTTTGAGTCCACAGCTGAAGTACAGTCCTAATATGTAATTATACATTTTTCGAAAAACAGGAACCTATCAAAAGAAAGTAATAAACGTTACTAACTATGTTAAAAGATACAACACGATAATGCTCTGAATAATATTACAGTCTTAAAGTGTAATTAAAATATGCTCAATTTAACTGCTAGGACCACAAAATAGTTTCGGCTGTTGCACTAAAGGTCATTTGCGTCCGGGTAAGTACCATGACCTAACAGAAGACCGGTGTGAAATGGAAGTGTTATACTTCTCCTCTCCGCCTGGTGAGTGAGGTAGCCGGGGTTCACTCTATTAAAAGTGGCAATGGCAACGCATCTGTAATCCTACGGGTGTTGCAAATGTTAATGGGAGTTTATTGTTAATTTTAATACAATCCATTTTTAAGGTGATGGTAAATTATCAAAGAGTTTTCACATGTAAACGAAGTTCACATGTAAGCGCTCCCTAAGGCATATGATTTTTTGTTTCTCATTCTCAACCTACTCAGTAGACGAGACGAAAAAGTGTAAATGTGCAATTTCAACTATCTGGTCTTTGAAATATTATTATATGTATGTTATGTGTTGTAAGTTTAACAGTGATAGGGCCACGAAGCAGTTTTTCGTTTCTGCACGAATGGACTGTTTTTTTTTTTTCACGGCTTCGGCGGACGCTGCTAACGAAAAAACAACGACTGGTGACGCTTCGTTAGCAGCAACACGCTGCTAACGAAAGACGTTTTCCAGTGCTTTTCCAGTGGTGCATCGAACTCCCAGGAGACCGGCGTGAAGTGGAAGTCTCTTCAGCGTTCATATAATTTACGGCACTTAACATCAGTTGAACTGCCAGCTTGCCAACTTCTCACATAAAAAAGTGTGTGCGTGTAACCTTTACGCGCGATTGAAGTAAAACTTCTTTGGCGTTGACGCCATATATCACTGAAATGATTAAATATTTAGTAACGTCAAAAGTATATGTCATATTTTAAAAATATGACATATACTTATGACGTTACTTCCGTCAGAAAAATCTGAGTGACTCCCTAGTCGCGCCTAAAGAAGTTTTACTTCAAAAATAATGTCCCATCGAGCCCACTCACTACTGCAGCGGCACAAGCTAAGCGCTGACAACTTAAAAAAAATATGTATAGAATAATAAGATTTTAAGTAATCAATAAGGAGTGTCCGCTTATAGAATGATATAAATGAATAAATTAAAAATAAAAAGAGAAATAAAGAAACATTATAAATAACAATGAATTCTTAAAAAAAGTTGTCATAGCAAAATATCGGATAACGAGTTTAAAACAAAAACATTACTTGATTTATTTTACTTGGGAAGCTGTAATAGTTGGCATGATTTTAAGTGATAACCGTCTCCCATTGACATTTACAACACCCGGTTGCAGACTCTTCTTACATTTAAAAAACCTTGATTATTCCCCATTTAGGGAGTGCTTACCAAGGAGTATAACAGCAAGCCTATATATTCAAATGTGTATATTTACGGATTTCCAACAATGTCTTTTAAATTATAATTTTCATTACAGCGCTATTATTGATGTCGGTATCATACCGCCTGTGCAAACACGTTTTTGCCATAAGTTCATCTCAAACTACATTTTATTTCTTTTCACGGTTGGTACGAACTAAATACGTACCTAGCTACCTTAATTAACATAGCTTAATTTTACTCTACAGTAAAATATTGTCCATCAAAACGTTTTTAGGGTTCCGTACCCAGTGTTGCCAGGCAGTCTCACGAGCCGTGATATTTAGACAGTTGAAATTTTTGCAGATGATGTATTTCTGTTGCTGTTATAGCCAAAAATACTAAAAAACTGAATAAAAAAATATTTAAGTGGGGCTCACATACAACAGACATGTTTTTTTTGGCGTTTTTATGGATAATTGTGCCGGACCCTCCGTGCGCAAGTTAAGTAAGAGTCAGCCATTACAATTGCATTCAAATTCAAAGCAAACATTACAATTGCACTAAAACTGCCTTGCCGCCGGTACCGATATTCGAAGTATCTTCGCGAGTAATGTGAATTTCAGCGTTCCACAACAGCACAATTTTCAAGGCATTTTTTGCCTCGCAGAACCACTCTGTGGAACCAGCTGCCGCCGGCGGCCTTTCCGAACCGTAAGGACCTGAGGACCTTCAAGAAGAGAGCATACTCTTTCCCAAAAGGCCGTAAACGCATTTGTAAGCCCCCGGGTGTTGCAGGTGTCCATGGGCGGCGCGGTAAGCACTTACCATCAGGACGCTTCCTGCGCGTTTGCCCTTTTTCTCCATAAAAAAAGGCAGTTTATCCGGACTGCTAAAGACTCGACGAGGTAATGATGGTTTTCACTGTATTGGGACCACGCAACTGTCTTCGCTCCTCACAGAAGATCGGCGTGAAGTGGAATTGTTATGCTTCTGCGTTTCGTCTGGTGAGTGAGGTAACCGAAGCGGTTATCATTTAACATCAGGTGAACCGCCAGCTGACTCGCCACCTTCTCACCTAAAAATATGGTCTTTGATAGTAGCTGTCGTATGCTGGGACAGATTGCAATCACCGTGTGTACACAGTGCGTTAGATTCGTCGTTCTTGGAGGCGAAGATAATTTTTTTGTGTGTGTAGTAGTTTACATTTTTTTTAACCGACTTCAAAAAAGAAGGAGGTTTCTCAATTCGACCGTATATATATTTTTTATGTGTGTTCGCGGATAACTTCGTGGTTTATGAACCGATTTTAATGATTATTTTTATGTTGGAAAGGAGATATCCCAAGGGTATACCATGATAAGGAAACCCGGATCTGATGATGGCATCCTAGAGAAATCAAGGGAAATCCTCAAAACATTTGAGGATTTTCCGATAGTTATCAACAATGTTTTTTAGTTTCCGGTTTAAAGTCGGTTTTTTTTTATTGAAATTATATAGTGCTAATCTCTGCACTAATAAACATTAAAATTTGTAGAAAAAGTACGAAAAGATTGCCGCCGCAGTGGGAATCGAACCCACGTCTTCGGCATTCGCGGCCTGACGGTTTAGCCACTAAGCTAAACGGCTGATTTCCACACCGACGAAAATCTTAACGTCTTTTATCTACATTGTTTTTTTTGGATTTGTGTGGACGTGGTTTACGACGTGCGACCGTAGGTTCCGTCGGGCTGTATACATAATGCATCATTAAATCTAGTCTGAAATAGGGTGAATAATTTGAATTTCTAAACTCGGGAGATTCCAGGGCGAGACATAAATCAATAAGTAAACGATCGAACGACCATATTCACAACATTTCATTCTTAAACGTATATCGTGACGTACATAGAAATATATTTATCTCTAATGAAAACATTTATGTTAGCTGTAAACAAAATGTTAAATCTTTAAGATTATGTACGTTCCACGTTATATAAAATAACAATAACACAATCTTTATTTATAAACTTCTATATATCCGCTGCCAATGCAGACTTCTTTCATAAAGAGGAAGACCAGAATCATCGAGTATTGATGAATTTCATGTCTCTTGATATCATACACTTTTTTTTAATTAACATATTTGATGTTTATTTTTTTATAGTTCTAACCTCTTAACTTAAAAGCGAGGACACTGGGTTATCACGGCTATCTACACTTAAGATGAAACATTAAAATTTGTAGAAAAACGGACAAAAAGATTTCGTACGTCTTCCGGATTCGCCACACCGACATAAATGTCAACGTCTTTTATCTACAATGTTTTTTCTCATTTCAAGTAATGCTTGGCGCACCTATTGTCATATTCATACAGCATACAATAATAACGTTTGCATATTTGGTTAGTTTGTCTTTTTACACGACCGACGACGTAGCATTTCACATTGTACTGTTTAAAGTTGCCTAATGAGAAGCATTCAGAACAGGAACATCGCAAGACGTGCAATCCTGTCCATCGATGACCACGACCACTCTGCCAAGAGCGTCTCTAACGA